ATATTTGTGTTATGCATCCTCTCAGCTGTGGGCTGACTCCTGTTGTTGGGCATGAAGCAGAAATACAGAAGGGATTTCTGTGCTTTGTCGATGAATCTTGGGTTCCTCTGTATCAAACAGTATGCTCTGTGGCAGGTTTTCAGTAATCGCTTCACCTGCAAGACAACATATGCAAGGAAGACGGATAGGACTGATGTAGTCAGAAAACTTAGCGAAAAATAAGTAGCTGAAGCGCTATCCTCAAAACTCTTGAAGCTGTTTATGAAGTATCATAGGAAATGTGGGTGCTGTTGAGCACGCTGACTAACCCATCCTGTTGCCAAAACAAATAGAAGACAACTCCAATGGCTTTAGATCTGGGAGGGAAAAGGCTTGCTCTAGACAGCGACAACTGATCACCAAAGCCGTCCTGTCTACAAGCTCTTTCCTAGTTGCATGAGACCCGACAAGTGTACCAGGCCACCACGCGGCTAAAGCTGCTGGCTCTTCAGTTCTCAGTGCGCTCCATGCCTCCAGAACTGAAAAGTAACGATGCAGGAGATCCTTCCAACTGAAGTGAATGTCCTTTCAAGGACAATCAGAGAAGGAACCCCCAGATCAGCAGCCCATGAATTAAAAGAAAAAGCACTACAGACAGACAGAAGTGACTCCTGAACTGATGTCTTCCCATTACAAAAAACTGAAGGACCCATATTTTTGGGTTTTGTTAACTACAGTTTAACTGTGGTCTCTTTGGAAGTGTGTTATCCCATGTTTGCCTTTTGGGTTGCTTTGAAGCATCTGGTGGTATAATTCCTTGTGAAAAATGGGGTATTAGATCAAAGCAAACAGGAATCTGAAAAACAGTAGTTCTGCTTAAACTCCCACTATCAACTCCAACTCCTTAAACGATTATCTCTCAAAACTAACGCAAAGTAAGATAACAAGCCCACACAATAGGGCTGACTCTCCCAAAACAGATGCATACGTAGGGTAACATAGTAATAACTCCAGCTGAATAATGCTGAAATACAACGGTGGGCGAAAACTGATTCATATGAAGTGAACTGGTTTTGTCCAAAAAGCTAGCACTTCCTTTTCCCTGGCCTTTACTATTAGCTGGCTCAAGCCTTCAGCCCGCGCTGGACACGAGCTGCGGCTGACCTCATCACAGACTCACAGACTGGCTGAGGCAGGAGGGCGCCTCTGGAGATTATCTGGTCCAACTCCCTGCTCAGAACAGGGTCAATAAGATCAGGGCTATGTCCTGTGGAGTTTTGAGTATCCTGAAGGATGGAGACTCCACAACCTCTCTGAGCAATCTGCTCTCGTGTGTGACCACCCTCAGAGTAAAAGATCATTTTCTTTGGTTTGAATGGAATTTGCTGTGTTTCACTTCGCGCCCTTTGCCTCTTGTCCTGTCACTGAGTGCCACAGAGAAGGGTCTGGCTCCATTGCCTTTACTCCCTGCATCAGCTATTTTTATCTGAGACTTCCATAAATGCCAGACAGTGATAATAATTTAAAAAAAAAACATACGAGGCTTGTGTTACAGCTCTTAATGGGACGGCATTCCAATAGCTACAGATCTAGGATTCTTTAGATGGAAAGATTATGTCTTGGATGCCGATATGGATATTAAGAAGCTTGTTTGTATAGAGTTCCAATAATAGACTAAACATTCTACTAGCTTTTGTTGAACTAAAATTCTTTAAACATATAAATTTCTGGTACTAATTACATTAATAAAGTTCTTGTCTTATTTTCCAGCTTGATGAATCATGGAATTTGAGTATGCTCTTGTGCAGCGCAGCTAAGGGCAAGGCTGTAATTTTGCTGTGTGAAAGGAGGACTCCTGAGTCTCACAAGCAGAGGGAGAAGTCTGACATGGAATAATTACATGTTACCTAAGGTTTCTTTGCTGTTATGTCATTTAAATTCCTTTTTTTTTGGAGGGAGGTTTGTTTCTGATTCATACAACTGAGCTCGGTATAGGAGACTAAAGACTTTGTAAAGTCTTCACAGTATGGAGGAAGGCGACACCTTTGGTGTGACGATGCAGCACTAGATGTGTAGAATACAATTGGGAGCTACACGGAGACAGAACCCATCAGAATCTGGCAGGCACACTCCATGCATTTCCCTCCACATCTACACAAAGCCCCACACTTCTTTCTTAAAAGAACAGAAACACCTTATGCTCCTGGCTAGTGCCCCCAGGAAGGTTTTCTATTCCATCAATATTTCTTCCTCCAGCTCCTAATGGCTTTTTGATCTGTAGCAAATACCAGATCATAGTGTAAGAACAAAAACCATCTGGCCTGTTGGCCCCACCAAGAGATGTTGTTTGAGACATTCGGATCAAACCTGTATTACGACTGTGTTCCTGTTCGTCGGTTTACTTGTGTTTTCCTGCTTTTTTCCTGACTATGGAGGGACGTGAGGAAACGTAATTTCTAGTCCAGTCCTGGAAACTGAATCTATCACTGAAAAGCCGAAGGCAGTACTGCGTGTATTTGATCCGTACGTTTGAGCGAGGAAAGGCGTGAGTCTGTGGCACCCGCGGAGGGTGCTCTGTTGTTTGATATGCAGCAGTGCACACCAATGCCTCCTCTGAAAACCATGGATGAAAATGTGTCTGAAAGGATACACTGACAGCTTACATCAATTTATGTACGGTATTTTAATACCAAGTTAACGCATTTCTCAAGTAAGAATTTATAAATCTGGTAATTTATAGAAAAAAATAAATCACAGCTTCACAAAAAGCTAACTTTCAACAGTTTGTCCCCTCCCCCCCAACACGCTAAAGTTTACAATATATTTCAACTATGTTGGTAGAAAGTTAACAGTGGTGTGAAATTCTTAAAAAATATTTGCAACAGCAATTGAAAATAAAATAATGATTTTTACTCAGTGAAAAAGTAATAGGAATTTTGTTTCCCAGTAAAAGATAAGTCAGAAAAGCAGCAAAAAATCCCTCTCCTACATATTACATGCTACCTTTCCCCTCGCCACATATGTCATTGGCAAAGGCAACACTTCAACACAAGTCGTTCCCGGGTTCAGTACTTTAGTGTTTTTGGCAAGAAGTCATACTCAGGAGTCCAGTGTTTGGGGTGTGTCCTGCCCTTGCCCTGTGTGCTCCAAAGGCTGCCATTACTCCTGTTCCTTGGGGTAAGGTGGGATCAGCAACAGCTCCGTGTAAAGGTAAGGAGTATGAAGATTTTTCTGTGGGTTCATGTTCATTTTCCACTTTTTCTTCACCTCTCCAATACAAACTGGAAAACTCAGAAATGTTAGTTGTCACACCTCGCATTTGAGTATTTATAGGAGATATGGGATTTGAATGATGTTGTTATATTTTCACCCGTGCACAAAAATCCCCTCTGTTGAATTTACACGTGCAACCCCAAGACGAAAAACGTTCCTTCTCTAACTTCTTCACTAAAAGTCACATTTCAAAGGTCATTGCACTTGATAATAAAAAGGCAATTAATATGCATTTGATATTAAATATATTGTACAGACCTGAACTTCTGTGCAATCCATTGCTTCAATCACACACATATTTAACGTATTTTTAAAAACTAACCCTCTAATCATAGTTTAACAAAGAAAAACAAACTTTTTTAAAGACTGTTTTTTTAAAGACAAGTCTTTAAGAACAAACGCACACAAAACCCACTCCCTTTAACTCCTAGTGCATTTAAACATGTCTTTGAAATCCTCCATGTTGTTCCCACATATAATCTCGCCAGCCTTCTACAATGATCTAATGACACTACACGAGAATGCATTTTCTCTGACTTAACCAGTAAGGCTGGCGTTTGTCATGCTGTTGGTACCAACAGGAAAGCTGAAGGTAAGACTATTTGCCTTGTTCCTTTACCTGTGGAAGACAAAAAGTTTCAAAGTTGATGCAACTCAATTGTCACGCACGTTGCCTGTGAATTCCAATGGCCCATTTTAGGTGCCAAGTGCTTACTCTTCCAAGTCGGGGTTTTGGGTTGTCCCAGTATATTTTGCAATAACTTGCTCTTGCTCTTAAAACTATGGACAACGAAACTGAAAGGGAGATTTTGGTCCCTGTGACATACTAAATGGGATCAAGAACAAAAGCACTAATATTTAATTTGGAGTGGACCCCTTTAAGGAAAACTAAGTTAGCTTCAACTTTCAAAAGTTTAACAAACAGTCACTAAAATGTCCTTACGCAGGACGACAGATTATATGCAGTATTGGTCAAGAAAAGTGCATTGTACAGAGAAGTTTTAACAGCTATCAGTTGCCGAGGACCAAGAAGCTGTCCTGTCAATAGCATTCTGTATCAAATTTGTCTTTCCAAACTAACACAGAAGAGCAAGAACATGAAACACGGCCTTAACCAAAACATCTATTTACTCCTATCTCTTTTAAATGTACAGCTACAGGACTTAACGTCTTAAGTAGTTAGAACGGACAAACTGACTACGTACGCCAGAAGCCAAACCAACCTTTTAACTTTGTGATTGATCATTTTGATAGTACTCTGTGGACCATATCAGCAACCTCTTCATTGCCAAACTGGTGGTGATGTGTGCTAGCGATAATACATCTTGAGCTAGTGTTTAAAAGGTTTGTACCACTGCAGGTGTTTCAGACCAGTGACCACTATAATAAAACATCTTTGGCAACCACAGATGTATGAAAAGTAATTCACAGCAGCTGGAAGAATTCTAAGGTGTTCACAAAGCTCTAATAGTGCATCATTAACTTTCTGCAGCATGTAGTAAAAAGTACCAAAGTCCTGAAAAGGGTAGCTAAACATCTGACATTAGAAGTTGCAGGGGTTTTTTTATACCAACTTGCTCAGACAAAGCTAGGGCTTGTGAAATTTTAGAGGATGACGTGAGATAGTCCACGCAAAGGCCTCCAGTGTGGTTGGAGTTGATGAGGAAGGGAGAAGAGCAATGAAGGGTTGATGACTAAAGTTTCAGTGTACCACTGGGAGGTTACTCAGGGACTCACAACAGATGGATTCATGAATGGATTTAGTCACACAAGTAGTATAATCATATTGGTGGTGGAATCTCTTCGGACAATAAAACAAAATGAAATAAAAAAATCAGTTGCATCCAGAGAGTCCATTAAGTAGTCTCATTTATCAGCACCTTAAATAAGAAAGAATGTGCATTAGTAACATTGAATTTACTCTAAAACATTAATAACACTCTATAACACAATTGAGCTGTAGGAGGAATTCAGTATAACGACCCTTTGTTTTCAATTAATGCAATTATAAATTAGATGTGTCTTGTGACACCAGATAAGCCAGCATTTAAGTGTGTGGGATGTGCATACAGCAGGAAAGAAGAGACCACACTATTAAGATGGGTAAATTTTTAACAAGTAGAAGAATTGAGGGAAGGTACTCCAAGCTTATTTTTTTCTGAATATGAGCTCAGCTTTCAGAAATCTGGGAAATATTATTGTAACTAATGTGTGCAACTGCACAGCGATCCCTATATGTACATGAGTATGCAATTTGGCAGTAACTATGACAACACAAGAAACTAAAAAGGAAAAACAGAATCTTAAAAAAAAACCCAAAGGTATTTAAGCAGGAAGAATACAGTATTACTATCAGCACTGACACACTCTGTGAGAATAAACTCAAAAAGAACTTTATACCCCAATGTCACGTCAGATGCCATATACAGCCAATCCTCACTTACATCTCACTTGAGAGGTGCCAATTTAAGCATGCAAAGGCATTTAAATTTGAGTCTAATAGAATATAGTACCACTTTCAGATGACTTCCACCCTTCAAAAAAGTACAGCTACAGGATATGTTGAAATATCTCAGATGTCCACTTCCAAAACTAGTGTGAAAAACTTAAAGAGAACCTTAGAATAAGGACTCCAGTCGCTACATATAACTTGCTTTAATAGTGAAACAAACAAAATGTTGGCCCTTTCTCCCTCGGGAGAGAAGAGGAATGAAGATCACAAAATAAGGCACAAGTAAGTGAACTGATTTTGATGAAATTATTAAATGATCTCATGAAATACAGTATTGTTTTTCATATTCAGTCATCAGGTGTTGCATGAAAAAGCAGCTAGTTTAGCAGTTTTGTAAAAGGGTTTTTGCCACGTTAGTGTTCTCTGTTCTGCCACAGCAGATTTTTCCTTCGCATTTCAGTGATTGTAAAATCATGGCCCTGCTCTACAGAGACACATTCAACAACAGCACTGTTGCCATGCAAGACTTACTGCTGTTTCAGCACATGAAGGATGAATTCAACCCTCAGTAGATTCAATCCTCAAACCTACTATACTGACGACTGCGTTGGGAGTTCCCGTGTTTCATTAAAAGGTAAAATGTAACAAATTAATTAATGGAGTTCCTGTACTGAAGTTAGAAGGAAAGTCTGGTCAAACAGTTGCAGCTTTTAGAAGCAAAAGGGTATTTACCAGAGTAAATGGCTAAGGGGAAGCAGCTCTGCTCCAATCAGCAACACAAATTCTATATATCATGTTCTACCCTAACGCACAGCTGAGCAAAACTACAACCTGTACGTACCATCACTGATGCTATTCCTTTTTAGACATCACCATTTTAAAAACAAGTAAGAGCTGGAAATTTCTTGCAACTTCTCCTGTCTCCAGGCTTACCATGCAAATAATATACCAATATATTGGTATATATAGTAACTGTATATAGTAACAGTCACTATATCAATAGTTACTGTTATCCGAAAACAAGGGCAAAAATGGGTTTTGAAGGCCAGACTGAGTTGAGATGAATATGTTTTCCACTTGTGAGTCAGAAAGGCACTGACAAGCTTAGGGAAGGGAGACAAAAACCCTTTTTCTACGAGTTCCAGCAGTGCAAGTTTAGACATGTATATGCAGGTTACTGATTAGTTGTTTTTATAAAGCAATAAACTCAGAATTTAAGTAGCTTATCTGCCCACTTAACATTGATCTTCATATTATTTTAGGTATCCCCCATGTGGTGAAGAACCCGACCTGGAATTAATATTCAAGTTGCTTAGTTCAGCTTGTTAAAAGTTTACCCACTTATTCACAGTTGGTTTTATTCTGTTCTTCAAAATCAAGATTATTCTCATTCACAGATACATTCTAGAGTTAGTAAAACAGTGTCAACCTATTTGTTTAGTTTGATTTTAGTTCTCCTACAAGCTCAGTCTCTTCCATGCAAGGAAAATTACAATTGAATAGTTAATTCAGGCTGAATGAGTAGAAACAAAATACAAACACATCATCACAGGCGCATGCTAGAGTCCTCAACTGTCTGTTTAATCAACACCGGGCCCCCCACACTATGAAAATGAAAACAAAGAAAGAAAAGTAAACAACCACCCCCCAAAAGCTTACTAAGCAGCAACAATGGCTATACTGTAAAATATTTTCTTTGAAATGAAATTAGTAAATACAACAAAAAGAACAAACGACATCACCATATAAACTTCTTTTTCTTACCATAATATTATCTTAATGAAATTTCTTACTTCTGGCACAAGTAACTAACACCGTCATCCATATTAAGAATTTTCTTTTAAAATAAACATACATCAATAGGTTGAAGATGCATCTTCATTGCATATGCACACATTCCCTTTCCCCAGTTTTGCAGGTAGGCTTTTTAGGGTCTCTTCTCTTTACACGAAATGAATTCACTTATCCATCAAGTGCAAAGCACAAAAAGAATATTCTCTAGATTTAGCAGATGGAGACTTCTAACCATGCAATAGTTCCAAGGGGATGAGAAAAATGAAAGGGGTGCATGAAGCCTTTCAGGGACAGAAGAAAAGTCTTCACTTTATTTAAATGCGATCCTCAAAATAATTTGAAATGCTATGAGAAGAAATACAGGATAAAGGATGGAACCTTATTCTAACTGCAGTACACACTGTAATGCAGGCAATGCAAAACTCTGCTATGCTAGGCTGCTCCAACCTATACCCTTTTTATAAACTGCGTACAGTCTGCATAGGTAGGCAAAGGGAGGAGACAGTTCAAGGTTTCCTGTGTATTTAACAATTATGAATTTCATGGCACAGGAGGATGAATTCGAGATGGCATTCACTTCGTTCCCTTAGGTACCACATGTCTAATTCACACTCTCAAACACTCGTGTGCATGAACAACAAAAAGCATCAGTCATTTTTGCTAACAATAAACAGACAGCATACAAAAAACTCCAACACCTAAACCAGAGTAGATGATAGCTTTTACAGTGATCTAGTTCAAATGATAACTAACCTGAGATGCACTTTGCTCCGATTAACATTATCATGCTACTCATAATAAAAAAACCCAAAGGCAGACTACAGAAGATACTAGTGTCACCTGATGTCATCCAGGGGAGGGTGTTTCCAGTCAAGCAAATCAAAAGAGAAATATATATATATAAATTGCAATTTATGTTTTAAAAATCATATGAACAGTAAAAAGTAACAAATGCAGTGACATTTGCAGAAAAACTAAAAAAGATCATGCATAACCCCCACAATAATTCGAAACAGGCTGTCAATAAAAAAGTTCAAATCCAAATTCCACTGTTAGCACTATCTAGGTTGAGACCATTTCTAGTGTTTTTCAATCTTAAATACTCCTAGCAGGCAGAAGACAAAGTTTCAAAGCAAGAACTAAGGAAAATAACATTTCACCCCAGTGTTAAACCAGATAATCACTGAGGGTAAGTTTTGATAAACACATCCTTTTTCACATGAGCTGAAGAACAAGATCTAGTTTTGTTTTCTACAAGGCAGAATTTTCCATCCTTCAAAAGGAAATAAAGATATGTAAGTAAGATACATATCAGGCATGTGGGACTTCAGGATACATAACAGAGAGTTTAAAAGTAAGGCTACTAAATCATAATCGACAATACTGAAGTGAATCTTGTTACTCATGCCAAGTTACCTACTTCCCTTCCAAATAGCCTTGAGATAATTGTTTGTATAACCATGGTAAATAAAATATTTAAATCAACATACAGGATGGTAAAAGGAAAATTTTAGCATTCAAGAACAAAGTAAGGGACTTCATGCAGCTTGAGGGCTGCAACCGTGGATTCTGGGGGGAGTTTACATTTTGAGGATTCTTTAATTAATACTTTTCCTTCTAATAGTTTTTCCAGCAAAAGGGAATTAAAATGAAGATAAGGCCCACAAATGATGAGTTGTAGGATGATTCAGGACTAAAAACTTATCTTGAAATAGTGCTGAAATAAAAATTTAAATTATAGATCATAGAAAACTGCAGGTTTTATTTAATTCAAATCCAACAGATGAAAAAGCCCTCTACTTCAAAAGAAAGTTCTTATTCAGCCCTTCGAAAGTGTTTGTATATTCCCTGTGTGCGAACAATAGGTCTACACAATTCTTCACTTTATGAAAATTTCTTGCTCTTAGCCCTTGTAGGTCAAAGAGATTTTGATGTGGCTATCAATCCCTCCTTCCTATACAGCAAATAATAAAGGCAAGATATAGCAAGAAAAATCTCAGGATGAAACTTCTATCCTTTGCAACATGAGGGTATAGTATAAGAAAGTTTATGTAACCCCCGCACTGTCTCAGAATTGTGCTGTATCTCTTCTTCTAGGTAAGACTTTTTTCTTTTGTAAATCAATGTCATTCTGCAAAAACTGAAGTTAGTCTTGATTACATGTAATCTGTTTTCAGAGCCCTACAAGATATTGCTTGCGTGCTCCTTTCAAGAGGAAGATCTATCTATCTCTTTTACTGCTTTGTTTCCACAGTGGTGTTAAGTAATAATTTTTAAATCACTGGAATAGTCCAGAGATGGTATGAACAGAAAAAGTCACCAAAATCAAGATTAACTACCTAGGCTAAGTGGCTAGTTAATAATACTTGACCTGCATTAATTTCTGATTTACCATTTGGAGGAGCTTCTGATGTCTCCCAGCCCATGGATTTCATCACAGCTTTCTTCCATCTGGCATAGCGAAATTCACTTTCTGATATTGAGAAATCAGCAAACAGAAAAGCCTCTCAATACATATGAATACAACTACTAGAATTATGAAGCAAACACTACAATATTAGCTTTCCACTTTTTTGAATAGTATAGTTTGTCTGCACAGAACAAGTATTATACAATTCTGTTTTGAGTACAAAAAACCAAAACAACCCAACCCCCCCCAGATATGCACAGTATGGAGAAATAAACCTTAAAAACAATTTTCTGTATGTTCACCAATAAGATTTAAAAGTAGGACAACATGAAGCACTTGCTATTCATGTAGAAGCCCTTCTGTGTTGAAAACACTGTCTTGAAGTAGGGATTACAGTAGTAATTATAGTAGTAGTAGTAATTATAATCGAAACGGTAAGACAAAATTCTGTATCAAAAATTAAGAAAACATTGAAAAGACAAAAATGTATTTGTCTTCCACATGGATTAACCATGTCAAGTACATGCTTTCCATCTCTAGAAGCACTTAAAAACTGATGAAAAAGTTAGTTAGCTAAAAACCAATGATTAATGAAGGCTTTTTAAAGCCAAAAGAAAAGCCTCCCAAAAATAGTCAGTCTGTCCTTTCTACATCTGTGAAAACTCATGAATGCACAGGAGGTTTAGAAGACATCTTTCTCAGTAAAAAACTTTCAAGATTTCTTTGACTTTACTTGCTATAAATCAAAAACTACTAACTGCAACGACCAGTGCCAAGCTTCTTTCAAAAAGAGGAAAGAAAAAAACGCAAACACATTCCCCTGTGGAATGATGCTGTTTTAACCATTTTCCATCCTTACTATACCATAAATGGACAAAACAGCAAGTGAAATGCACTTTTCTCTAAACTCAGCACTACAAAGTTGATGTTCAACATTTGTGAGGATATTCATATATAGCTGGTTTTGTATCAGTATGTTAGACTGCAACAAAGAAAAAACTCAATCTGTTGGACACAAAATACTAAGTTTGCAATTTCTTAAATAATATGAAAAGGTTTTACCCTCTGGGTTGATCTGTGGTTCAAATCGTTCACATGTCACTGCTGTCAAATCTCCAGGATTCAGGCTCCAAATTCCAACTCCTTCTGCAGCTCCTGCTGCCATAGCAGCTCCTAGCGCTGTTGTTTCAGGCATTGATGGCTTTACTGAAGTAAATCACAGAGAAGGCCATGATGATTTTTAATGAAAGTCACCTTGATGACATCAAAACTAAAGATTCACACATACATCTAGAATGATACATATTTTCTGTAACTGCCATTATGCTTCAAGTTTACCAACTGCAAACCTCATTTTGTTGCTATTCACATGGTTATGAGGCTAACTTCACCTAAGAGCCATCCGCGTCTTGGAAATATCTCAGATCACTACTTCCTTCGAGACTGAATCATGCAATTGCCCATTTTCATACCACATGTAGGGCTGCTGACCTCAACCACCGGTTTCCTTAGAGTACTCCTGTTAATAATACACTATTTTTTCTGCCTTCTCCGTCTCTCCTCAAAGCAGTGATCACTGGCTAAGTTATCAGTCTTGTTCCCATGCTCTAGAGACTGTATTATTAAAAACATTTATATTTAGAAGAGGTATCTTAAAAGAGGCTACACACTTGTACTTACTAGCTTGTTTGCCTTCCACAGATGCTAGAGAAGACGATCCCACCATCCCACCTCCAAGATGTCAATGGTAGATCTGTTCCACTAACTCTAGAACTGCCTGCTTCTCTGCTTCAGGCAGAGGATCCTTAAAATCAGATTTTATTGATCATATCCTTGCCTAGAACTGCCTGCTTCTCTGCTTCAGGCAGAAGATCCTTTAAAATCAGATTTTATTGATCATATCCTTGTATCTGCTAACTATGCATCTGCACAGATAGTATGAGCTTTGTGTATTATACACTATTAAAGGCAAGATATAATATCTCTCGAGTTAAAAACTTTCCACTGAAGTGTCTCACATCTATGTATAAGCAACACCACGATGTTTATCTAAATTATTTTCTAGATGCTGCATATTAGGCAAGATTATTACATTTATGCAGCAAATTATCAGTCTTCAGTACAGATGAAGATGTATAATGTCATATTGTGACATACTGAGCGACATACTGCATCCTTAAGAATGCTAATGTACAGCTTACAATACTCAGCAAGTTGGTATCTGCTACAGGTGTTAAATTATGTCTTCAGATGATGAACCCTTTTCACTGACATTGAAATGCTCCAGGTTTCAAGTGAGATCTTTAAAGTGCTTCAGTGTATTGAAATACATCCTTCAAAAGCTAAAAAGACTTCTTATTATTCTAGGGGGCTTCTATGAAAGAAGTGTTACATGATCATTTCTAAAATGGCAGCATTGCTGTTGGATCAGAATAATGGTATTGTAAATGCTCATTTGCCTCAGAGAAGACCACCACCATTGGGGTTTGTATTTCATACTATGCATGCCAAGAAAACTGGTTGCAAGATCCCCACTTTTGTTGTAATCTCTATTCCCTTCTTTGTGGCTGCTGCAGGAGGCAACAGAATGGACAATGTGTTTCATGGGTCTTCTTTTACTTTGTAAATGAAATCAAAGGTTTGTGAAGGCAAAGGGAACAGAAAAAAGGGTATTTGCTGAAACACAAGAGCAAAACACAAGTAGTGGAGGTGCAAAGTTCTGATTTATCTCTGAGTAAGATTCTCAGAGTGTGTAGGTTTTGGCTGGGATAGAGTTAATTGCCTTCATGGTAGCTAGTATGGGGCTACGTTTTGGATCTGTGCTGGAAACAGTGTTGATAACACAGAGATGTTCTCATTATTGCTGAGCAGTGCTCACACAGAGTCAAGGCATTTTCTGCTTCTCACAGCACCCCACCAGTGAGTAGGCTGGGGAAGTCAGGAGGGGACAGAGCTGGGACAGCTGACCCCAACTGACCAAAGGGATATCTCACACCATATGATGTGGGCAACTAAACTGGTCAAGGGGCTGGAAAATAAAACTTATGAGGAGCGGCTGAGGGAGTTGGGGCTGTTTAGCCTGGAGAAGAGGAGGCTGAGGGGAGACCTGATTACAGCCTACAGGTACTTGAGAAAAGATGGTGGGGAGGTAGGGGAAGGGCTCTTTACATTAGTGTTGGGTGATAGAACAAGAGGAAATGGGTATAAGCTTAGTCAGAGGAGATTCAGGTTGGATATTAGGAAGTATTTCTTCTCTGAAAGGGTTGTCAGCCACTGGAATACGCTGCCCAGGGAGGTGGTTGAGTCCCCATCCCTGGATGTGTTTAAGAATAGGGTGGATGATCTACTTAGCGATATGGTTTAATGGGGATTAGGGACGGTTGGACTGGATGATCTCTAAGGTCTTTTCCAACCTAGAAATCTATGAATCTATGAATCTATGTCAGGCTCAGCATATAAAGCTGGGGGAAGAAGAAGGAAGGGCGGACATTCTGAGTGATGGCATTTGTCTTCCCAAGTCAACATTACATGTGATGGAACCCTGCTTTCCTGGAGATGGCTGAACACCTGCCTGCTGAAGGGAAGTAGTGAATGAACTGCTTGTTCTGCTTTGCTTGAGCACATGGCTTTTTCTTTACCTATTAAACTGCCTTTATTTCAACTCACAAGTCTCCTTATTTTTGCCCTTCTGATTCTCACCCCCATCCCACCAGCGGGGAAGTGAGCAAGTGGCTCCATGGGGCTTTGTTGCCAGCTGGGATTAAACCATGACACAGGGCCAACATGTTGCAGGAGAGCATTAATTTCATTGATTTTAAAACTGTTAGATGTTTAGAAATTGATACGACAACTTTAAAGTTCAATACCATCATAGTGCTATATTTTAACACAAGATATAATTTGGCGATTCTCTAGGAAAGCGAACTTCAAAACTGGATGCAAGTTTTAAAAACTTTTCCTGACAAAAACCCCAACATTTGCAAGTAGTAGCAAAAGACCAGCAACAACAACAAAGCAAGACATACAACATGCCCTCATTAGCCATTACAAACCAATATTTGTTTGGGAGTTGTGATTTCATCTTACCTACTGGAATACAGAGAATGTCTGATTGGAGTTGCATGAGGACTTTGTTATTGGTCATTCCTCCATCTACTTGTAACTGATTTAGTGGTATCCCACAGTCCTTGTTCATGGCATCTAAAATCTTAAGTAAGAGTAATACATGTTAGGATTTAATTGCAGAGAAATCCATGATACCCTCTGAGTGGAAAATACTGATAAGTCAGCATTTGCTGAAGAGTGTTAAGAACATAATTTCACTCCCCTATATATCAAGAGGGAAAAACAGAGGTGGTGACAATACAGTTTTAATATAAAGCAAATGCAGTCTATTTATTACAGAAATTCTAGTGTAGGAGATGTTTCTCCTCTGATACTCTATCTAGCCTATGTGTTGCTTATATGGTTTGAGAAGAAGAATTTTGAAGAAAAGCTGATGACAACTACAACATTTATCAAAGGTAACAAAGGAAGAAGTAATACTTAATGGAGTCCATACTTAATGGAGTCCTTTAGGTGACTACAGTTTGTCCAGATACTTTCTCTAATTTGATGCATTAAAGAATTGAAAAATCAAAATGTTTGAACTGGCAATCTGGAAGACACTTCAATAGGAACCGCTGAACATTGAACTGTTTTGAAAGAGCATCCTCTTGAAATATTTTCAATTCGTTGTTGAAAATTAAGAATTTTACATTTCACAAGGCAGACTGCAAAAATAAATTGTTAGTGTAATTTCTTGTAAAACTGTTTCCTACTTGTGGGCACAGTGGACAGCTGAAAAGAAATGCGTTGAAGTGTTTGCAAGGGATAATTAGCTAAGAATGGAGTATTTAATTCACTGATACCTATCAATATGTGTTTTAGAGGGTGTCCTAAAAATGTACGATTTGTCTCAAACCTTAGCTACTGGTAACACCACAGCATTATCCTACAAGCACCTACTAAACGAGCAATAGTGGGGGTTTTTAGGGTTTTGTAAAAGCAGTCAATTAAACATCTCATTTACGTTTTTTAAGGTTAGTACATAATTTTTGTTGACAAAGATAGCCATTAACTAGTGCAGAGTGATTTTCTCCTTGTATTTTTTTATTTATTTGCATAAAAAAGAGGTGTGCTTTTCTCAGCTTAAAATGACAAAGCAACATAGACCGGAAAAAAAGACCAAAACTACACCACCTTCAGTGCTGTTCTGTAGTTCGTGAAGTACTCAGTTATACAATCTTTACCAGGAAAAGTCAATATATTTTTTAAAAAAATAAAATCATCGTAGGTTTGTAAGGTACTAAAAACTATATAGAGATGAGTTGTTTAGCAGATTCTACCCGTTGCCAGAAAATAAGGCAGTAAGGTCCTTTACCAGAAAATCTTTAAAAGAACAACTAAAAAAACTGCCACAGGACAAATAGTGTTAAAAATTAGAAGGTAAAAGGCCAGCTTTCATGGTGGCAAAATCTGTCCATAGGCACTGTTCAATACATTAGAAATAACCTGGAAAAGAAGATTCATAGCACAGCAGCAAAGTTTGCTGGAAGTACTAAGCTAGTACTTCTCCCCACCACTTACTTCATTATGTATCATTTTACATTTGTCTGGGCTGATTTCACCTGCCTTTTTTACCATTTAGAACTTCAGCAGTGCCTCATAATCTCAACTTTAAGTACACACCTTGTGGGGCTTTGTCTACCACTCGGCAAGAGCACGTTGGATCATACTATGAGCTCAGTAGAGATTAAAAAAATGAAAAGAATGCTAGAAAACAGGAAGGGATGAAGGAACAAAATAAATCATGATCATGCTGCTGCTATCTCTATTGTTAGTTGGACAAAGAGCAAGGTAGCCAGGTATGTAAGTTTTGTCTAATAACAGCATTGTGGAGTTCTTAGAACTGAAAAATTGCTTATTTTTCCATAATGCCTTCTGGAAGAGAAAATGTAACAAGTGTCATCTGTCTGCATAGAAAGAAGCTTTTTGGATGACAAGGAACAGAACCTTGGAAGGATCAGATGGCACAATAAAACAAGCAAAAACTGCAATGAACATGAATTTGAGGGTTTTCCTGAGGGATACAAAAGACTTTCATCTCAACTGGAATTAAAACAAAATCACTTTGTTTCTGAAAAGACAGAACAACGTATCTTTGAAAAAACTACATATATTTTATCTGTGTCACTAGGACTTAATCTGTTAATTTAAGCGTATCCAGAGACCTGATTGGGCCCTCCTGTCATTTTGATAAAAGCATACTGCCTAAAGTATGAGGAGGCACTAGATCTGTTCAAACAGTGAACTTCACCCTCAGTCTGAGAGCTTTATAACCCTCCCTCCTGTTTCCAGCCACATGCCCTCTATCTCGTTCTGATGTTTGCTACACTTCTCTGCAAGGCAGCTGAGGTCATTGATCCAGCAGAAAAATAGCCCAGCAAAAAGAGGGATAATTTTCTGCTGGAAAGTTCATTCAGCTGTCACATGAGAGAGAATGGATGGGAGGAGGGACAAGGAAATAGAGGAACAGACAACAAACTAGACTATCAGTTTAGTTCTGTGTAACTTTACCCTGATATCTAGTACCAGAATTAGAGCTACACGCTACTTCCAAGCTCCTTCACAACTTCCTGAGGACTCACAGGCTGTTAGCACAGCTTCAAAAGCAGATGCCTGGGTGAAATTTCTGGCTGCCTTTTCCCAAATGGGTTCTTCTTACTCTACGTCACTACAGAAACAGCAAGCTGCTTTCCTCCTGACCCACAGCTTTAGCTCGGTGTTATTCTAAAACTCAGTATGTTTAAATAACAGCAATTAAAAAACATGCAATCAAATCAAGGTTTGACCGTTACCCTTTGGGGTCTAGGGATTTAATTTTCTCCTGTATTTGCATGGAACACAGGGAGCATAAATTGACAGTAGATGGTAATAGAAAGATTCTAATGCTCAGAACATACTGATATCAACTCCTTGCAGAACACCAGCTAAGGCAAAACAAGATGTAATGGGCTGGAAGCTGAATACGGATTTCCCTTGGTATGTTTGCTGTTGTCTTGCTTTAACTCATTTTTCTTCTCGTATACCAAAAAACCACGTAAGCCATCTCCACCACAGCAGACAATATAAAATACAGTCTCCTGTGTTGCAGAACTAATGCAACTTTCTAGTTATGGCACTGGCCTTGTCATTTTAATGCTTCTATGTTCTGCCCCTCAAGATATTCACAAAATACATTCATTTTATTTTAAGTGCTGATAAAAAGCAGGATTGACATCCCAAAACAATGTACCACCCAATCAGATCATTGTAGCTAAGTCCACAGGAAAAAATTTTCAACATCAGTACCACATGAAAAGAAGAAGAGCATCCAAGTATAATATAAAGCATATGATTAATCTTCATTACATCTTTTCAATCCTCTCCCTTCCTGAAGAGCTACGGTCCCTGTTATTATAATAATTTACAATTAATTTAGGATCCAGTTTGCCTTTACCTCTCGTGTTTGAAAGCAGACTGCTTCTAGTGCAGCAAAGGCGATGTGGTTTTTATTTGTAAACTGAGTAAGGCCACAGATAATGCTGTTGAAGAGAAAAAAAACCCAACAGTTAGGACACACTTCCTTACCACATATACAGTTACTTCAGACCTAGGCTTCTAATTCAAAGCTCATTAGTTCCATTGTATGAGGACTGCTTTTTAACATCAAAAAGCTTGTTTCTCTTTAATCTAAATTCCCTTATTCTTCTTTTCCTGACAGACATGCTTTCAGTGTCCAATCAATACAATTGCCATGAATTAAAATTTTATTGCAAATTTGCATGCAAATGGGTGCATATTCACCCATACACACAAAAACACACACACGCACTAATATTCTAGTCTTCCTTTATGAAAAGGAAATGTACGATCAAGGCTGATTTTTCTTTAAAAAATACTATCATCTATCACTAAAACCTTAATAAATTCTGTAGTGCCTTCAGTTCTTAAGGAAAAGCCTAGCGGGGTCAGTGCTGTGCTGTAAATGCTTGAGATTGTTTTCAGATCTATTCTGACCACCAGTTGCTTCTGCACCTTCAAAGAGGTTTTTGGATATGGAAATTATGCAATATCTAGCCATGTGTAAGCTGAATTCTGTCAACGCACTCTGAACCGCGGAGCAAATAATCATCCTTTTATTCTATTTCAACATCTGAGGGATAGTAGAGTACTATACAGAAATGCTGCTATATTTGGTGCCAGATATATGTAAGTTCAAAGATAGTAAAGGACGTTTTTAGTTGCTGCCATTCCAAAGATCAGCTTTTAACAGTTTAAAAGTTGAACACTGCAATGTGAAAAACTCAAAAAAAATCTAACTGAAAGATTATTTTTTTCCCCTCAGGTACCAAAAGCATCTAAATTCTAAAGATGAAACTACTCGAAACCTTGGGAACTAAATATTCTTTAAGATTTCTTTTTCCACTTCAGGAAAAGTTATATTTAAATTTGTTATGCTTCTGTGACTTCCTTGGCATGTTGTGATTCCAGCAACAGTAGGCAAGCTCACAATAGCAGAAAAGACAAATAGAAGGTTATTGTTTGAACAAACAATAGTTCTAACAAATACCAGGTAGGTAAGTCTTAACAACCAGGAAAAGGACTGAAAGGTGAGGAGAAAAGTGTTCAACAGACTGGAAAGAAAGCTGGACATAAGGGAAAGGAGAGGGAGGAGAAGCGTGGAGGAATTAAGTGACCTGTATCATTTGAGACAGTGAATGCAGCAGCCATGGGAAACTTGAGCTCTTTTGTTGCCTGACAGCTCACAGGTATGCAGACCTTCTCCTTCTCTTTAGTGAGATGAAAATCAGAATCAGAAATGTGTAAAGAAAAAAAGCTAGTCTCATTAGGGGCAAGAATGATACAACTATCTTATACTTGCCCTCAGAAACACACGATCCAGCCCAGATGTTACCCCTGCCCTCCTTTTTTTTTTTTTTTTTTTAAGGAGGAGAGTGAGTAGCTAAGCTAATTAATCCTTCTTTTTCTCCCAGTTGCAGTTGCTGTTTTGAACAGATTAAATACGAAAGAGAAACAGAGTAGTTGCTTGAAGATACCACAGAGAATGATGCATCCAGACATACAAGGCTGGATGGTCACACTCAAAGAGTTGCGGTCAAATGGCTCAACATCCAAGTGCAGACCAGTGACGAGTGGCATTCGTCAAGGGTTGGTATTGGGGACAGTGCTGTTTAACATCTCTGTTGACAACATGGACAGTGGGATCGAGTGCACCCTCAGCAAGTTTGCAGATGACACCAAGTTGTGTGGTGTTGTGGACACACATGAGGGAAGGGATGCCATCCAGAGGGACCTTGACAGGCTGGAGAGGTGGGCCTGTGCAAACCTTATGGAGTTCAACAAGGCCAAGTGCAAGGTCCTGCACGTGTCGGGCAATTCCAAGCACAAGTACAGGCTGGGCAGGGAATGGATTGAGAGCAGCCCTGAGGAGAAGGTGTTGGTTGATGAGAGCCCCTCTACTCTGCTCTCGTGAGACCCCATCTCTGGAGTACTGCATTCAGCTCTGGGGCCTCCAACATAAGAAGGACATGGACCTATTGGAGCAGGTTCAGAGGAGGACTATGAAGACAATCTGAGGGCTG